ACCTTTGCATGTTGTGCCTTGATCATTTTCACTTAGTCAGCATGTATATTTCTGGTTAGTATATTTCCTAGTGCACTACAGTCAAACCCCCTACCCAAGCTGTACAGAAGACACCACATGAGCAGAGTGTGCTTCACTTAGCCTTCCTCCCTCATTGTTAGTTTGGGACTGATGGAGATGAGAAGCTTCTGGGTTCAAATGTCCCCGAACTACTTTTTTTTTTAATTCTTCTTTTAAATGCCACTGAGCTCAGGAGTCTCCTGCTGCTCATGTTGTCTCCTGATTCAACTCAGTTGCTGCACCAGAAAAGGAAGAAAACTTTTATCTTGACGTGCCCTTCTTCTTGGTACCCTGGTACAATTTTTGCAGGAAAAAAAACCTGAACATGATCAATTGCGCATATGGTGTTGTCAGCCCTTTCTGGGAAGAATGGGTACTTTTATCAGCTGTCTTCCCAAAACCTTTAATGCCCAGCTGAAGTCCAAGTTGAACTGTTGAAAGACAGACCCAAGCACTAGCTTTATCACCATCCCCATGCTGCCTTCAGACTAAACTGCACATATGCTTTTAAAGCGCCCTGTCCTAAAGTGACATGAAGTTAGATCATTACTTATTGTGGCATCTTGAACTGCAGGATCAGCAGGGACCTCTGGTAATGACCATAGGTGGAGCAGTTGGTATCCAGGCAGCAGCAGTGCTCATAACTCCACTGTAGTCACATCTGTAAGAGCTTCAGGGGAGGCCAGTCCATGGCCCTAATGTTTTACTTGCCCTTCATAATCCAGGGGTTTAAATATGTCTGTCCCTTTGATCTTATCTCTGTGGCAGCTTAAATCTGTAGGATGTATTTTCCTCGTTAGTTGTAAGGACATTTTCACTGGCCAAGTAGACCTTTAGTTTAAATAAATTAGTTCCAATCTTGTGTAATCTTACTCTTTTCCCAGTTCCCCTCACCAGCTTCAGGAGTGAAATTACTATGTGGCTTAAAAGCCTTACATGTAACTTGAAACAAGATGAACCATATTAGCATCAGGTAACTCAGTGTTAATACATAATTTCAAAATATCAAATAGAAAAATGCTGTTATGATTACCTCACATGGTGCTGGAGGCTGTGGGGACCATGGAGCATGTCCTCCAGGGTTTGCAGCTTACAAGGCAGAGTCTGGTGGTTCTGCAGGAGCTTGATTAAAGGCACTCTGGTGCCTTACCCCACCTTTCTGGTGCAGTACAAGAGTGGGTTTTGCGTCTCCCACTCCTTCAGCAAGAGGGCTGTTACCACTAAGCCTCAAGGAGAGTCAGCAGGACTCCCTGGTTCTCTGGGCAAAGCAGGCAGGTCAGGTTTTCTATGGAAGCAGAGCTTTCAAAACTCTGTTACCTACATGGCCTTGCATTCCTCAGCCATACGAGGTGGTGCTGTAATTGATGAGAATAGGGCAATACCCTTTTAGTGTTAGATTAGTATTTATCATGTGTTCTGTCTGCCAGCAGACTGGCCAGAGCATGGGCAGAGCTGACCCTGGGGTTTTGGTGTAAACTTTGTAAATGCAGACCTTTATGCCATTTCTTCCTATTTGTTCCATGATTAAAAAAGTGGTAGACAAGTACCACTTCAAAATGCACAAGTGTCATCTTTTAAAGTTAATTTAATGTTGTACAATCTCATTTGCAATTGCAAATACTAAGGCTGCATTTTTCCCCTTACTCCAAATGCCTAAAAATCTCATTAATGTTAATATATGGGGAAGAAGTGCTTAGCTTATTGATGTAGGAATGAAAGCAGGAGCAAAGCATGGCTCTACAAAGATTCATCTGCAGAGTGAGGTCTGAAGCAACCATTAGATTATCAAATCTGACCTTCTATATAATACAGGCCATAGAGTCTCATCCACTTAATTCTGTATTTATCTCAAGAACAGCATCAGAAAAGCAGACAGTGCATTAACATATTGCAATGTAGAAATATATTCAGACATTTCCTTTTTATTTTTTCATTCTAAAATCAGAGGCAAACAGCAGTACTGTGCTACATGATATTGACAAAAGTCTGTAGGAGGAGAGATTTTGATCTGTCTGCAGAGGAGCATTTGTATGTCTGTGTGTTTATGTGAGGTTTTGTTTAGTTCTTTGAAAATTATTCTCTGGTGACTCTAACTAGTGTAGAACTTACCATTGGTTCTGTTTCTCCCTGAGGGCTGCTTAAATTGAAAAAGAAATTTGTCGGGGCTTTTTTAAACAGAAAAAGTAATTTTCTTCAAAAATCTGTGTGGTCTTTAACAACTGCTTTCTAAAATCTGATTCTGGAAACTCCCTGCCAGTCAGTTTTCCTAGGAAACATGAAGCACATTTCACATCTGGCATCTCATCTCCTGGACTATAACACAAAACTCCCCTTGAAATGCTCCTGGGAGGTATTCAGGGGGTTACCACACACGCACAAAAGACGAGCCAATCTGTCTAAAGGAGCTGCACTGGGCCATTGCATGTTTTAACCATTAGCCAACCTTTTGCTGAACAAAGGGGCTAAAGAGGTGAAATGATGAAAGTATCAAGGAATTCAGAGAAGTGGTGGGTGGCACTCTACAAAATACAGAAGTCCCAGGCTTGGCACATAACTGCTGTCCTAAAGAAAAAAGTCCTCCTGCCTAAGTCTGAGGTGGACCAGCCCCTTGGTGTTGCCCATCTCACAAGAACATTCCTCTGCAACCCACTGCAGCCCAGAGGCAGGGAGAGTCTCTGCTACTTGTGTGTTGCAAAAGCCTTTTCTGCCCCTTGAAGGGTTGAAATCTGGGTTCTAGGTTTTGTCTGTAACAGTACAATTTCTGTCTCCTTTCTTTCTAAATCTCAGAAGTCCTACAATTAGCTTGGTTCCATCTTGGTGTTTGGTTTGGGTTTTGCCTACCGAGTGGCTTCAGATCCTGTTCTTTGAGGTCTTTTAATATGATTCAGAGCTAGCTACTGGCACTGAAAACACAGATTTGACCCATGACTGCAGGAACTGGAGGTTCAAAACAATTTGCCAAGGGCATTATACCATCAGGGGGGAAGACCCCTATACCCAAAGGCACCCTCATAGCAGATTCATACAGTCCACATATTGCCTCAGCTGCTTCATTGCAGTGTCCTGAGATTCACGTTAACCTAGTTGGAAGGTATCAGATAAACACTTTTGAAAGACCCAGCGTTCAAGAAGGTATGTCAGGAAGGTACCAAGAAGGTATATCCTTGCCTATCAAATAGGAAGGTAAATATTTGCCTTAATACTTGGCTTTGAGGCTAAACTAATTATTAAGCATGAGGGTCTTTGAAATCCACAGGTAAAGGGTGTTAAGTAAATGTAAATAACATTACCAAAACCCTCTGCCTCAGACTCAGATGGCTCTAAGTAACCAAACACAGAAGCCCTGCATTGGCATGGTCCTTTGCTTAGGCTAATAGAGTCACAGAATCATAGAATGGTTTGGGTTGGAATGGACCTTAAAGATCATCTAGTTTCAAACCCCCTGCATGGGCAGGGACACCTCCCACTAGACCAGGTTGCTCTTAAGCCCCATCCAATCTGACCTTGAAGATTTCCAGGGAGGGGCCAGCCACAGCTTCCCTAGGCAACCTGTTCCAGTGTCTCACCACCCTCACACTAAATAATTTCTTCCTGATATCTAATCTAAATCTCTCCTCTTTCAGTTTGAAACCATTCCTCCTTGTCCTATCACTACAGGCCCTTGTAAAAAGTCCCTCCCCAGCTTTCCTGTAGCCCCTTCAGGTACTGGAAGGCCAGTATAAAGTCTTACTGGAGCCTTCTCTTCTCCAGGCTGAAGAACCCTAACTCTCTCAGCCTGTCTTCACAGGAGGGGTACTTCAGCCTCTCTGATCTTCTTTGTGGCCCTCCTCTGGACTTTCTCCAGGAGCTCCATCTCCTTCTTATGTTGGGAGCTCCAGAGCTGGAAACAGCACTCCAGCTGGGGTCTCACGAGAGCAGAGTAGAGGGACCCTCCTTGACCTGCTGGCTGCACTTCTTTAGAAGCAGGCCAGCATACTGTTGGCTTTCTGGGCTGCAAGCACACATTGCTAGCTCACGTTGAGCTCCATCGATATATATTCCCTGTTTCTCAGAGGAGCTCATTACCTGCCTTAGCAGAATCTTTTGCTGTTGTCCCCAGACACGGTCTGGGCAGGAGGTGACTGGTGGCAAGACCATGGCCATCTTGGTGCTTCTGTCCCCAGGACAAATTACAGCCTCTCCAAAGCATCCAGTAGCAGTAATAGTAGAAAGTTAGGATGCTAATAACAAAATAATAAAAGGCTATGGGTGAACATAGCACTGTGTATGTTAGAAGGCCCCACATTCTTTCCTTCTCTGTCAATATGGCTGGAGCAGAGAGGCAAGTTTATAGCTAATATTCTCCCTGATCCTCAAGAAATCACATCTGAGTGAATGTTTCCCTTGGGGAGTAGCAGGAATCTCCGTGCGTTTCATTCCATCTCCGAGGTCATAGCCAAGAATCAAGTCGTGATTATTAATTCTCTAGCATAAAAGAAAAACAGACTGTTTTCATTTTGACAAGTTTTCCAACTCTGGTGTCTCCTACCCCATCTCAGCAACAAAAGGTCAGCCAGGGTCCAGCACTTCTGTAGCTGTGGGATGTCAGCAGAGTGGCAGGGAGATCTGTTTTCCAGGAGTAAGAAAAGCAGTGATTGCATCTCAGGATGAGGATGCTGTAAATACACTTGCCACCAGGCTGTGTGAGCACTTGTGCTCCTTTGTGCTGGTTTCAAAGTAAAGCTTTGGGTACTTTGTGAACAGCATTTTAGCAGCACTTACCAAGAAGTCTGGAGACAAAAAAGGTTTATCTTCTAGCATAGGAAGAATTTTACTTAGCCACAAAATGAACTGTTCTATACAGGCAGTAATCTGCTTCTCTATGAATTTGTGCAATAAGCAAAGAGGCAGTAAGAGTTTCCCAGTTGCATGACTCACTGGTACCTGTACTTTCTTTGCAGTTGTCCAACACAGCAATTCTTCATCAGATTAGACGAGACCAAGTCACAGACACATGCCGAGCAAACAGTGTCTCCAGCAGGAAGCGCCGTGTGCTGACACCCAACGATCTCAAACACCTGGTTGTGGATGAAGATCATGAAATGATCTATTGCTATGTCCCCAAAGTGGCCTGCACAAACTGGAAGAGAGTCATGATGGTTTTGACAGGAAGAGGCAAGTACAGCGATCCAATGGAAATCCCAGCCAATGAAGCCCACGTGTCTTCGAACCTGAAGACCCTCAACCAGTACAGCATCCCAGAGATCAACCACCGCTTGAAAAACTACATGAAGTTCCTCTTTGTCCGTGAGCCTTTTGAGAGACTGGTGTCAGCCTACAGGAACAAGTTCACCCAGAAGTACAACACTTCCTTCCACAAGCGATACGGCACCAAGATCGTGAGGCGCCAGAGGAAAAACGCAACCCAGGAAGCTCTGCGTAAAGGCGATGATGTGAAATTTGAAGAGTTTGTGGCGTATCTCATCGACCCGCACACCCAAAGAGAAGAGCCCTTCAACGAGCACTGGCAGACTGTGTACTCCCTCTGCCACCCTTGCCACATCCACTACGACCTTGTAGGAAAATACGAAACGCTCGAAGAGGATTCGAATTACATTCTCCAGCTGGCAGGAGTAGGCAACTACCTGAAGTTCCCCACCTATGCAAAGTCTACAAGAACTACTGATGAAATGACCACAGAGTTCTTCCAGAACATCAGCTCCGAGCACCAAATGCAGCTGTATGAAGTCTACAAACTTGATTTTTTAATGTTCAATTACTCAGTGCCAAGCTACCTGAAATTGGAATGAGGGAGGGGTTAGGGGGGAGAGAGGGGAGAGAAAGCCTGTTTTATTTAAGATTTTTATTTGTCATAATAATTATGGAAAATGGGTTATTTTGTAAATTAATATTTTCTTTTTTTGAATGATGCTGCGAGCAGCACAATCAAAATTATTTAAATCAACTGTAAGAAAGGACAGCTCTCTTTGCAGGGTAACAGGATTGTGATGAACTAGCTGTAGAAATTAATAATATTGCTACACTGTTAAAAAAAAAAGTTGTGTTCTGATGAATTTAATTGATCTTGCATTCCTCCAATTCTAATTAATGTTATTTATACTTATTTAAAACATGGTCTCTTGGTAGGTGTCACTTCAGCAGCAGAGATAAGATGACATTTGGACAAAAGGAGTCTGGTTTTAAGCTTTCCTCAGTTGAGCTTGTATCTGAGTAATAATACTTTTCCATTAGCTGTTGATGCAGGTAAATACAGAAATGGTTCTTGATAAGGTTCTTTCCATGCTTTGAGAAGAGGAAATAATTTCTTCAGAAAATGATATTGCACTTAAGCAGACTTAAAAAAAATAATAATCTATCTTTCTACCCCTGAAAGGGAAAAGTAAAACAGATTTTTATAGATTCATGGTATCTAAGACCCATGAATGAAAGAAATGTGAATGTATTCCTTGGGAAGAGAAACCATGAACTTTTTATAAATCTGGGCTTAATGATTTTATCAAGAATATGACCAGTCCTATTGTCTCTTAAAGCCTGCCAGCCCAGATGAATGCAGATTTGTGCATTCAATGCAGAAAAAATCAGCATTTAGAAAGTGACTGTAGAGACTTTTGAATGCCTAAAGCGATTGGCATTGGCTTAGTTCATATGTAGGATGGGAGTAGGAGGAGCTCCATCCTCTGCAAGTTGTGCCTCCCTGATTGTTCATAAGATGGGCAACCAAAATTGGCTCATAAAACACCAGTCAAAATACATTGCTATAACGGATGTAATTCAAGAAGTCAGTAAATCATCTTGGTGTTGATATCGAAGCACGCAAGGCAATAAAAGGTCTCTCATCTTCCTACATGCCAGTTTTGTGACTTTTTCCTAAGGGGAAGGATTTTTATTTTTTTTTCATTGATGCCTAAATACAATTGACAGGGTTGTTTTTAATTATCAGTGGGTTAGTATTTAATGTAAGTCAGCTCTAGTGTGAGACCACAACCGTTGTATTTAAGGTGAACGTCTGAGTAGCGGTTATTTTGCGTGTAACAGCTTCTTGGGTTAGCAGGTGTACAACCTGGCGTAGCACAGCAAGCGATTGCTTAGGGCAAGCAAGTAGGGATCTATTAGTAGCAAATAAATAACAAAAAAAGTAAGATTTCAGTGTGGATCTATCAGCAAGCTCAGTGGGCCGAAGTAAAAGCTTCTCCAGATGTTGGAGGTGTGGGTGAGGGGTACTGCCAAGACAGGCTCCTGCCCTGGGAGTGGTCTGTAGCCACCCTGAGCTGTCCCGTCCTGGACCAGCAGTGCCGACAGCCAGCTGATGGGCAGGAGGCAGAGGCTGAAGTTGAGGCACTTTTGGAGCCCGTTGTAACATTGAATGATTGTTAAAATGGGGTTTTGACTTGCCTGTGTATCAATCTTACCATCAAACCCAACATTTCAAAAAATTTATGAGGATTTAAATAAACCCAGCTGGAGGAAGAGCTGTTTTAACAGTATCAGAGCCAGATCCTGAAAATGTCTTATTATACAGTAGCTGACAATACCCACTGAATTGCATTAGTCTCCAGGACACATAATGTGGTTAAAGAAGAAAAATAAATTCTGTCTTATTTTATAAAAATAAGTCACTGAATAAATTTCAGCAAAGAACAAATTAACATAACAAACAGCAGCTGAAGTCTTTTCACAATTGGATTTAGTCTTAGGCAGGATTCAGGTCATTATTTTTTTATCATTCCCTACAAATAAATCTCTCATCCATTCTGGAACAGCCACAGTTTTTATAACTGGGGTCCTAGTTATTAGCCAGAGTGCTGACCCAGTGGCTGGTGAGGAGCTGGTGTCTGCTCCTGACAGCTCTGAACTTCGGAGCGGTTGCTGATCACTGGCTGGTGTTTCACTTGGAAGCAGTTTTGTCTCATTTAGAGGCTGCAGAGCTGTTGCAAGTGCCTATCACAGTGTGCCCTGACTTTCTTTTGTTTGTAGTTCAATGATTACATGTTTGTGAAAAAGAAATTAACCTGCCTGAGGGTAGTTTTCCCCTCTCCTCCTCCAGTATTCCCTACAAGCTATTTGTGTGCTTGTTTGGTCTTGTGTCCAATGGTGCTCATATTTTGATCCAATTATCTCTTCAGTTAGCTGTTAATCTCTCCAACAGATTGTGATGTGAGTTCTTTCATTTAAGAAAAAAGTTGCCTCAGAAAGTAAATATTCTAAAAATTGGATGTGCTTCCCCCTTATCATTTTGTACTTTTCTGTCCTCTCTATATTTTTATCTGTTTTGAGGTACTCTTAAGTTACACAGCTTTGGAGACACAAAAAACCTATTTGACAGCTATGATAAAAAGCTTTAGGTGAAAAACATGTTCAGGAGATCTGAGGGGTGAGTGCTACTCTTGCTGGAATTTTTAGCAGCAGCTTTGGGTTTAATTACCCAAATTCTGCCTCCTCGATGCTGAGCATGGCTTTTATGTGGCCTTAAGCAGTTACTTAAAAGTCACTTGCTTTCTACAAACCTTTATCCCAAACTACTATAACCTGCCCATTTAGTGTGTTATATCTATTTTGGATGCTGTGGTCAGGCTGTAGATTTGTGTTTAAAATGAACAGCTGACATGTTGGGTATGATGGTGTCCTGCATGGTGAGCACGAAGCCCTCACCAGGTCAGAGGAGGACCACAAATGTTAAGGAATAGCTATTTTATTTTATTTTATTTTATTTTATTTTATTTTATTTTATTTTATTTTATTTTTATTCTTTTGTCTGCTGGGTGCATTGTTTGACTGAGCCAAAATAAAATAAAATAAATCTCTTTTCACTGTCCCCACACAGGAGGGTGTTCAGGGTTGTTCCTTCTCATCTCAGTGAGCTGGTGGCCACCACCTCCTGTGTGGGGGCAGCTGGGGAGATGGGTTGGTTTTTCCCCATCCCTTCACTGGGTTTCCCAGCCAGAGGAATGGAGGGTCTGGTCTGCTCTTGAGCCCTAACTCCCTCCCAGGTTCCATGTCTGCCATGGCCACAGCTGGTCCCAGGAGACAAACAGGCAGAACTGCAGCCGCAGCAACATTCAAACTACAGATGTGCCTGTGGGGCCACAAGGACCACCCAAGGAGCTGCTGTTTTAGAGGGATGGTTGAGCAGTGGTGAGCACAGATAGGACCCAACAGAGAAGGTCTCAATTCCCCCTTGCTGCCCCCAGCCTCCTCAAAACCACTGGGCTCAAGGAGTGGTGATCCCTGGCCTCTGAGCAGCTGGTGCCTCCCTGGTGTTTGGCAGGACCAGCACTGAGCCCAGCAGCACCCGCGGCTCCTCACCCAGTGCAATATCCACAGCTGGGACTCATTCCCCCCTGGATTTAACCCATCTGAACATGGTGGTGACTCCTGGGCAGGGGGAAGGCCCCCCAAGCCTGACTTAATCCATGCTTCAGCCTCTTCATAAATCACGTCCATTATCACAGAAACGTGCAAACTGCCTGAACCATGCGCTGCGTAAGACAAGTGAAATAACTAATCCATGAGCAGAAGTGCTTTTAGAAGTAAGTTGACCCCAGATGTTTTAGGGTTTCACTGTAGTCTGCTGCACTTTTCAGGTACAAAAAGGGACTGTCCTTACTATTACTCTTGTTACAGAGAGTGTTATTTTCTTACATGCATGCACAATACAATGTGTACGAATAATTTAACATCGATGTGGGGTTGGATTTTTTTTTTTAACCTATTTGTATGCAGTAGAAGGCTTGTTGTAGAGAAGTATCTCCTCATACTTAAATATACTGTTAATAAAGAAAAAGCTAAATTATACATTGCCAACACAAGTGTGAACTGCTCATGAATCTTTCCTTAAAAAGCCATTCAAGCCTGATTATTTTTCTAATTAACTTCAATTAAATTGAAGAAAGAAAGATCCTCTCTGTGTGCTTATTTCTGGTTCATGCATTCAGGGCTGAGGGTGGGAATTTTTTTGTCTGCATAGCTTGGCTTTCTCACAAGGGTTATTGTGGAAGGACAAGCAGAAGGCTCAAAATTATCTACTGCTATGAAGCAGGAAAGCTAAAGTCATCTGATAACATCCTTCTTGCTCCCTCTTCCTTCTCAAGCTCCCATCCATCAAGAATGAAGGCTGTCAATTTGAGACCTGTTGCATGCCCAGAAATGTCATCCCACCTCAAGCAAGAGTGTTTTAGAGTCAGTCAAATGACATAAACTCCAGTTATCTGAGGAGCTGTAGCCTGTGTGGTTGCCCACCTTCATGTGAATTTGCTAAAGCTAGCTTTGAGTTAAACATTTCCAGTGGTCCCCAGACCTGGATGGTCTCATTTATGGGTTTCACTGAGGCCAAAAAGCTGGCCTTTGAAGACAAACTTGGGTGAGGAAATCAGCACCAAAAATTACACTTAGGAGAAATATATAGTTAGAACATAACTACTCACCATTGTGACCATGTTGTTGGAGGAACCCATGAGGTTAGCTGGGCTACCCTACTGCTGAAGGTCACCAAGACTAGGTTGACTGTGGTTTTGGCAAACAAAGGCTTCAACGTCTCTGAGGATGGAGTGCTGAGATCAATTCTGAGCGACCAGCAGAGATGTTTTTTCCTAGTGGCCCTATGAGATTCCTAGCCTTCAACATGTGTCCATCATCTGTCACTACTGGAGGAAGAGTTAGGATTCACTCCCTAAGTTCTCTTCAAGTAGTTGTAGACTGCTGTTAGATTCCCAGTTAGTCCTGTTGTCACCAGAATAAATAAGGCCAGATGCCTCAAAGTGTCCTTTTCAGTTAGATGCTGTAGGTCACTGAACATCTTTGTGGTCCATTACTGTAACTTCTCCAGTATCTCAACATCCTTCTTGAATTGGAGAGGGCCCTAAAACTGGATGCCGTATTCCAGATGCAGCACTGCCAGTGGTAAACTGACCATTTAATCTGCCAGTCCCACTCCTCACAAGGCAAACATTATTCACAGTGAGAGCAGAGACAAATGGAAAACAGGAAATCTGCTGAGTAGTGTCATAGCACATAGTGGGGCACTTGCTATCTTCAGAGCCCAAGCCAGTCCCACCTCAAACGCCCGGCTACCTGCACTCCCTAATGAACAGGCAGAGCTGCAGCACAGCTTCCTGAAATCACAGCCTGGCTGTGCAGTATTAAGACAAAAACCTCCAAATTTCAAAACATCAGTGATTTGTTTTCTCTACAATCTCATTCAGAGAGGAAGGTAATTCAGAAGGACTTGCTCAAACTGAGCGACCAGCCTGGTTCCAGCCACGGTGCTGGTTGCTCTGCTTCCCTCAGCAGTGTGGCTGGGCAAGGATTATATATGCTTCAAAACAAAGAGATCCTGTTCTGGCAGTGCACGGGTCTCAGCAAGCCCTACACTGCCCTGAGAGAGTCCGTCAGTAC